TCGGGCAGTGGGAGCGAAAACTCACGTAGTTGCACAAGCCATTTATTCCAGGCGTAAAGGTGGCGTTTCTAGGCCAACTCTTTTCTTTTTCCAATGACTTCTGCACCCTTCCGATTGATTTCAACACGACTGCACGGGAAGATCTGTAGCGCAGCCTCCGGGTAGCTCGAAGAACGCTCGCATGGAATGGTGACCGATTTTCATCTGATGTATTCGTCAGCGACTCTCATTCTTGCGGCTTCAGGGTAACAATGTTAAGGCATCGCGGTTGGCACGATCGGCTCGCGGAAAATGTGACGTTGGCGCGATTCCTTGAAGGAGACGTCATCGAAACATGCACTCCATGCTCGAGGGGGTCGACGCCTCTGCAGGCGTACTCTCGTCCAGCCGACGCAGCTGCTTTTCGCCCTTTCCTCGACGGTGCATGCATTTTCAGTACAGGATCATAAATTTACCCGATAAGATAGAGAACATCCTGCATCTCGTTTTCAAATAAATTTATTCTTGGTGAAACATCATACTGCATACTGACAGTGATCGATGCAATCCATCCGCAGCCGAGTCTTCACTAGTAATTCTTAAGCCCTGGAAGTCTGACTTTCAGATCCCGCGCGCTTCTTACTCTGTCTTGTACGTGAGAGCTTTGAATTTCTATTCCAGTTCGATGGACGAGTCTCGGTCTCCTACCTTCCCTTTCCTTCATGAATTTTGACATTTCAAAGTTGTCTGTCGCGAGTTCTTATTCAAAGAGGTCTACCGGAGTTCATTGATACATCGAAACACCTACCTGAGCGAGATGACTCAAGAGAGCGAAAAACCTGGAACTTATGAGGTCTTCACGTTACAGAGTGGTACTCGTGGTATTCAACCACCTGTAGTGGTTTGGGTCCACGAGTACCGTCAGCGAAACAGACACGTGCCCTTCGAAAGAAAGGCATCGGCATTGTGCTAATATGTACCGGAAGAAGTTTGGAAGTCTTGGCCTGCATGTGAAGGAGAGGACTCTAGGACTTACCGCTTTTGAGTAAATCTGACTATTTCTATATTCATCGCATTCTCTTAAAGTGCAGATTTTGCCTCATACAAGATTCTTCACTAATTCGAGACGTTCAAGAACCCTGTACACTGTTTCAGTAACCTCGTTGGGCTATTAAGAAAAAAGGTCATGGTTAAAAGATTGCTATGTATCAGCGTTCATAAATCATCTCATGCATCTGCCATCCGTTGAGTAACTTCGGAATCACCTCTGAGCGTTCAACGGAACGAAAATGAGGAGAGTAGGAGAGTATTCGTGTTCATTAGGTTGGGAGCCTCAACGAAAATGTCTAGAGGAATCCTAGAAGAGCTTTGTTTCAAATATATTGTAGGATTCCTTTGGACTCTTTCGTAAGGGAATCATTGCCTGTTTTTATCGTTAGTACCCACAGATACCGTCAGAAATGAAAGGATTAACTTCTCTCGTGATTACGTTCACTACTAACTTTATTCTGTCACTTGACTACTGTGATGCGATACGATGCCCCCTTGCTGTGTTGCATATGCCATCTACCGAAGAACGATGCAAGTATGCATAGGCGAAATACTGTAACATCGATTCTTTCATGCAACGTTGACGTTGCATGATCGCTGCTGCGATTCGTCATGAAGGTTCATGTAACATTCCCCTTCAGTCACAATAACGCCATTATGACGTCGTACATTATGACGAGTACAGAGGAACACCATGCACTCGCATACCGTGCGAGTCAGGGGCCATCCCCGATCTTCGAGCGTCTGACTTAATGCTGCTCTTCAATTAAGATTTTCTTGCTGCTCCGCCATCAGCATCGAATCGACGTCTTCAACCTCTCCAGTCGATGCTGAGACATTAGCTGCACCGTGTCGACTCGAAAACATTTATACGAGCGAGGAAGCGAAGCCGACGCTCGCGAGAAGTCGAAGATATTAATAGTTGAAAGGGTCTTTCTGAGCGTTCCCGCCGATTGACGGTTGTGCGGTCGAGAGGAATTCTGCCGAGCTGGTTGCGCCCGTAGCGTAACGTCATTTGCCAGCGTTCGGCTTCCAAATAAATACGTTATTCTGTGAGGTGTAGCTCTGGACAGTCATGAATACCGAGACATAGGAGTTATTTTTCCACGCACGAGGGCAATACAAATCACAAGGTCTATACCCTTAAGAAGCGCACTCTCGAGTTGAAACAAAGTCGCATCGGTTGTTCTATGTAAAGAGGAGCCTAAGGCAAGAACGTGGGGCACTAGGTTCCAGGCAGCTCCTCGAAGCAGCAGGTCGAGTGTTTACGCGTTTCGATCTCGCAACCACAAACATGTTTGCATGTGGAGGCATCGCAAAAATAGCCCTTCTCTGATAAAATTGAGGCCAGGCGGGCAGATAAGATAAGGCGACGGCCAAGGATTCCTCTTCTTCACACTGAGTAAACTTTCGCCTCTTTTTTTTCGTTTAGCTTGCGGTCTGACATCCTTGAATTCAGAATTTCGTTATCTTTCTGTCGCAGGCGTTGGTTAAGGCTGCGTCCGCACCATAGGAAACGCCCCTTTCGCCCATGGCGCTAAACCAGGCAAGTCATGGTTTCCGAACCGCAGTGAAACTGAATCACTATAGGTAAAGAGATTTCGTTCCCAGTAAAACCCTTCCGCAATCGCCTAAGGAACAGTCATAGAGTAATGCGGTGAGACTTGTGCGACCCCAACTTAAGACTTAGTAAGCTGTCGTAGTTCCGCTTATAGTTGACGCTTCGTCGAAACGAAGACTTGAGAGCCCTAATGTAATTAAATGTGCACGTTTTTTGGACTGATTATTGTTCTCATAGCACTTCACTAGTTCATATGGGTTCGACGGACCCCTTTAATCCTGTAGTCTCGAGACATGAGAAAGGAGGTGGAGGAAAAGTGATGAACGCAACAAATTCAAACCCCACAAGCTAAAAAAAAAAGCTAGCAAATAAACCTTATGTTGGCTGTTAGTCGTTTCGATATAGTAGGGTTTTGGAGGAATGGGAGACCCTAACGTGGTCGGTGTCGCACTATGAGTTGAGCCATAGTCCTGCTGTAGAAAAACAGGCGTCGACTTGATTCCATATTGAAACACATGGTTTCATCTATTTGCGAAATGTGCCATCATTTCGCTGAAATTCTCTTCGAAATCCATCCAGTCTGAACTCTCGATATGAAAGTGTGAGCTAAGAAGAAGAAAATGCAAGAATTGTACGAGAGTTCTCCCGAGTTAATTTTCCAGGATTTCCTTGTTCCGTGCTCAAAAAAGGAATTAGATTGATTCAGAAGCGAATTCCGGAAGAATGATGGCACATAAAATACCGTCAATAGCTTCTAACCAGAGACGAAAAGGTAAGTTGTTCCAGGGGATAAACTCCTCCTGGTTGGTGTCTCCAATGTCGAGAACTCCGGCCATGAAAAAGTGTTGCAAGACTTCCGAAAGGCAGTATACTGAATCTATCGCCGAATTCTCAGGAAAGTAAAACCTGGAGAGGCTGGAGTTTAAAAGTCCAAGTTACAGTACAGTTTAGTCATAATTCTGGTGCGCTGTAAACAGTCTAGTAGATCTGCCTGCAGTCGAGTCACGTTACGTTCAAGTAATTCTGTTTTACAGAATTTAATCGAAATGCAACCATGGAAAAATCAGCCGTACAAACAAAATGTTAATTCGATCTTTCTGCGATACATCCCATGTGTCCACCACAATAGAAGACGACCACTGACATGCATAGTGTATAGATGAAAGTTGAAGACAAGGCATCCTTTCACCCTGGCCCGTCAGTGAGACGTCTCCATCTACTGTTTTGTTGAAGTTGGCCCGCGTTTCCCTACCCCTTTTCGTATGCTACAAAACTCTCTTGGAAGCCTACATTTTCCCGACATTTTCAACAGGAACCGGTTGTTCCACAGCGAAACCACGGCGGATCGAGTAGTTGGAGCGTGGGAGAAAATCCACAACTCATTCGTGCCCCATTAAAGGTTCAATAGAGTCGAAAGCTGAGGTTATTGGATGTCATTGTCCCCCACTCGAGAGAGGGGAGAGGATGACTCCCCCTTTGACCAAACTGCCAGACGATGGCGTCTGGCGCCAGGACGATATCGAGGGGACAGGAGTGGACATGAAGGGTACAATGATTTTTTAAATCTTAAGCGAGACGACTCCGTAAGTACTACGGCTGCCACAAGTGGCCTCCCAGTCAAGGCCCTTCAAGACCTTGACATGTGGCTCTGCCAGATTTACGACGCATCCTAATGGAGGCCACGTCGACGTATGACAGGGTTGGAGCGGTTGGACGGTACGTCAACCTGCCAGTTGGAGACTCTCTTGGAGACGGAAACTCGCGCCAGCACGCTAAGCAGCCCTGATTTTCTATTATAAAACGTGCTGACACGAGGCAATATCGTTAGGTTTTCGTCGGTACATGATTCGATATCTGCAGTTACACAATTCTGGTTATGGACTTGGGAATTCTGGTTATGGATCTACGACGTTCAACGCTAATTTTTTCCAGTTGAATATGATATACTTTCAACTTGACTCCGATACGCCCTAAACAGACCGAGCCGCTCCTAATCGCTGGTATTATACAGTCATTTTGTAGTCAAATGAAATTCTGTAAAACTCAACTGGATAACAATGTAAAAGATTCAGCAGAAATGATCTGATTTTAATTTATAATAATTCAGTGAATGATTTTGATCGAACGGGTTCCAGTAAAACGTCGATATGATTATGCGTTTTCTTTTTTTTTCCCCCTGATTGCTCGACGGTATAGTTGATTAGTAAGGGAATCGGCTTTGACTCTTGTTTAATGGACCTCGTTCGTTCTCTAGTGTTGTACAAGTTACGAGTACCACGTGAAATAAAGTCGTGAAGATCTTTCGTTCGCATTGGGTATTTAAATATTTGGTCGCTTCTTGTAATTCTGACGATGCAAGTTTCGATATGCAAAACGTTTATGTCCAAGAGAGTAAACTGATTTCCCTCACCTTCGGACGACTTCCTTTGCCTTCTCGTTCCGTTTCGCCCCGTCTCGATTTTGGTCCGGCCTCGTGCAGCAGGGGGCAGACTAGAAGTGAGAATGGAGAATTTGCTTCCTTGCTCTGTCTCTCTGTCCCAACTTGCACGGTCTTCCTCTTGGGCCTGCCTGTCGTGTTCTCCCAAATAGAAGGCAACACGAGAGGCACTGCTGGAGTTACGAGTGAAGCTCGCCGTCAAATGGGAATCGCGAATGATGGTCTCATATATATATGCATCCCAGACGGGGGATGACGTCGACGGTCACTGCGACCTTCGTCGGGATACCGATTTTTTTTTCAGAAGAGAGCTGCATATGACCTTGATGAAAGAACCGTGGACCATGGCTTTGACTCTCGCTTAACGGACCCGGCGTTGTTGTTGTAGGCAACCCTGAGAATCCGATTATGCAGCAGCTAAGTCATGAGAATTTGATAACTTGATACCGATCGCACGTGTGTTGCTAGCCGCCAGTTTCCTTTCGACCCAACAAAGCACATTGCAAGATGCAACGCGGATATTAGCTTAGAGCAGCCATCAGGACTCAGTTCGGAAGGTTGCATCTGCATCGTGAGAGGCTTGGTAGGGCGTGCTAACGACGACGGACTCAACTCTTTCCAGATTCCATCTCATTCCTGATTCATGATCTTGAGCAACATATTTCATCACCGCGGAAATGAATCGCATTTGAAACCGTCTGAACCTATTCCTAGACCGTTAGGATTTATTCTCCTTCCCTGTATGTAAACGTGTGTTTTTACATACGATACATTCCTGGTCCTCCCCCGACTGCTTCGTCTTGCGGTGCTCGTGCATGCATTCAGTTCGTGAGAAAGGATATTCACGAAGGGACTTTTGAGTGAATGCTTGATGCCTTACGAGCACCTGACAACGTAGAGACCGCGAAAGCCCCTGAGTAAAATTAAAGTAAGAGTTTTGGGAGACCACGCCTGCGAAGGAGGGGAGACAGCACTTTGTGCGTCGTGATGCAACTTTGAAGGGCATCTTACGGGAGGGATGGGGAAGTTGGGAAACTACATTTTATCTATCTCAAGATCGCCTGGGAGGACCAAACTTTCTATGCATATAACATAGAGAAATCAAAGTTATTTAAGAGCAAAATAAAATTCCTATTAACCAACTGTAACTAGTTAGACATGAAGAGAGTGATTAACTTCGTGTGCGTGTGCACGACTCCATTTTTAATGTTTGCGAAAAGGGTCAGAACTGCTTCTGTATCTCAACATTACAGAGCGGGGCAGAAAAGGGACAGTTTTTTTTAACGATTCTAGACTCTAGCATACTAAACTCACTGCATTTATTTTTATGCGGTTTGCGGAATTTGCAAGAGGAATGACTAAGCTTTAAAGTGGTTTACTTATATTTCAAATGCCTTCAACAGTTTCAGAAATTCGGAAGCTCATATGAAAAGCAAACATTAACTAAGGTTGGGCTACATCCCAGAGTGGGGTGGGTCTCGAAGGGCGATGACGTCACTGGTATACACTCCTGGGTTGACTGATAAAAACTAATTCATCTCATATATTTTGTCTATTGAAAATGTCATATGGGTCAATTTTTTTCTTGCTTTTGCGTCCCTCAATTCTATTGCAAAACTTGCATGGGTGCACCGACGGCTTTGATGTCATGAATTCGAGATTCCCGAAGGATCCAAATCCCATGAGAAGCGGCTACGGACGGACTTATGATTGAGAAGCAGGAGAGGGCCCCGAAGACCTTGGAGAATTTCTGCTCTTAAGTGAGACTTGTCGGAAAGAAGGATTTGATGCCGTTTCAGGGAGGATTTCTCAGTCGATAAGGTCCCTGAGACTGCTCTATGCCGACTTCAATGATACCGAAGGATTCACCTTCATCCTTACGGCAAGATTGAATCAAGATTGCCTGGAAAGTTTCTTTTCCCGCCTCAGAGGGCTGGGAAGATTTTTTGGTCACCCTCTACCTACGAAGGTGATCCATCGTATGAGATTGCTCGTATTGGGGACGAATATGCCCATTATCTCCTCATTCGAAATTCTGGAGGATCCTGAGGATGCGGAGCAAGTATTGAAGCACCTACCCGACATGGGGGATTTGACCTCAGATCTTAATGACGATGCTTCCCTGAGATATGAACTGGGATGTGAGGCTAGCACCAACATTGAGAGAAACTTCGATGTCAATATCACAGGTTTGATTGAAGCTCTACAGGGTGAATCCTCAAGTTCTGAAGGAGTCATTCAAGCTTGTGGACTAACGGAAGATCTTGAATTTGAAACTGAATCTAATGAAGCCATTAATGCGAGCAAAGAAGGCTTTAGGTATGTAGCTGGTTACCTTGCATATAAGCTCAGGTTGGTCGATTCATCCCTGGACAGTACTGAGCAGGAAAGAGAAGATTGGAATGCACCCGACTGGATTAGGAGCTTATCAAGAGGGGACCTCATATACTTCACTGATGACTGGTTGGACAATCCATGGAAGATGAGTCTGGCATTCCTGAAGTGGACAAAGGGAGGGACCCCAAAATAACCCGGCCGAGATAATCCAAGCGAAATTCAAAATCAGGTATCCCGAAGTTTTGCAAGAACGCGGCTGTTCATCAGGATCCCTTTAATTAATTCTGAGTTACTCAGCAAGGACTAGAAAGTTAGGAAGAAATTGAAGAAGATCCTTTGTTGAAATGGTGAGAGGAAATATCCTCATGGTGCCCATTTGCCATAGCTGAAATATACAAGCTCCCTTCCTTTGATTTGGTTATGGTGATTTGGCGGTTGGTTACGAAATGTGAATATTATGTCTCCAAAAATCTGATGACGTCAGAGGAAAACCAAGGGCGAGAATGGAGCAGTCGAGTTAGGTATGTACCAGTGACGTCAATTGCCGTAGGACGAGAATCGCCATTATCTGAGGTTTCGCTTTTGGCCCCACCTTATCTACTCTCCTAACCTGGGGATGGACAAGCAGCCGCCCAAGGTCACATGCCGTTTGGGTCCGAGTGTGCGGCAACGCAGTTTTTGTTTCTTGTTCATATGGGCTCTCAAGTTTCTAAACCCGTTGAAGATATTTTAAAATGTAAGTTACCACTTTCAAGCCTAGTCATTCAACTTCATAATCACAATTTCGACAACCTTTCGAACCATCCTTCAGTTTTGAGCTTTACCGCGTTGTCGTTCAAACATCTCTTCCCATCCTGATGTATCTCGAGATGTTGAAACGAGTAAAAGTCAATGGATGCCAGGTCGGGTGAATATGACAGGTGTGGCAATCTTAAAATCTAACGTCATGGGGGGCGACTCTCGGAACATTGGCTGCGAGCTGGTGCATCCTCGTGCATATTGAAGACGCCTTTCCACACCTTTCTTCAGAGTCCTCCGACTTCCCAAGTGATGCAGCATAGTACTGATCAGTGATTGTACTGTTAGGGGACGTATAGTCGACGCGAATGATTCAGACTGCGTCTCAGAATATTGTCAGCATTTCTTTGCCAGCCGAGGCCGAGACTTCCTGGGTGGCGGAGAAGTCCTTTTTTCTCCATTGCATCGACTGCGTCCATCACAGAATCCCACTGGTATCTAGGTCCCGCCGGTCCACCCAATTTTCATCCTCAGTAATTAACCGCGAACATTCCGCTGGATCGGCGTTGAGCCAAACCGAATTCTGTGGACTCGTTATAATCCTGCGGTGACTTTGAATTATGGACAACATTCGGGGAATCCAGCGGACACAGGCCTTTGACAGTCCCGGCATTTCTTGCAAAATGATTTAAATACTGCTTCTTGAGATGCCCGAGGCCTGTACCGATTCCCCTGTCCTCCATCGCCAGCTTTACTACGGCACTGCAAGTGCCAAGTTTTCACGGTTACCTCCTGTTACCCCCAATGCTTGAACCAGGCGGTGGACATTATTGAATCTTGTCAGAATTCAGCTAATCTCAGCTTTAATGTGTTGTAGGACGTTGAATGATCCTTATCAACATTTTTGCCGGCGCATATGAATATCCTGCAGCGAAAACTTCTTTGACAAAAGCTTCTTTAGAGATTGATGCTCAAAATTGTGGCAAAATCATGAAAATTCAATCCTGCATGAAAACAACTGTTTCTCAGAATAGTAACAAATTCATTAATTCAGTAGTGACACTACTAGCCTACACTACTATAGATGAAAAACCTAAGCCCTTGTCCTTGGTCAGGCTGAGAATTTATTGACACCCTCGTATGCACAAAATATGGACAAATCATACAAGATTTGTAAGCAAGCATTAATCATGTTGATCGCTTCCGTAGCAATCAATGCCTATTCCATTTCTTAAAACGGTACCTTTCCGTTTCCCATGCTGAGAGTGCAGATCAGGATAAATGAAAAGTAAGAAAATGCTACCAGAAGAAGATGGTTTCAGCCAAGAAAATGTTGTTCATGAGTCCAAAATATGACATGTATAACTTCCAGGTGATATGACATGGCCTCTACACCATTTGCTTGATGATTGCATTTTCTCTGTTCTAGTTCGCACTTTCCCTATAACGAGGTTATGTGATCACTGAATTAATGATATCGAGGAAAAAAGCATGCAACGAAAACAGGCTTGTATCAAGTAAAAAAGCATGGCCCCCGCATCATGGAATATGATCACTCTTACCCTTTAACAGTGTAAGAGTGATCAAAATGACCTTTCCAGAGTAAATTCCGTGAATTCATAGTTTTCAAAGCGAGTGGATGAGAATGCCGTAACATGAAGCTAATCGTGTTACGATTGCATGTCAAAAAAGTTACAATGTCTGCCGAAGAGCAGTTTTGCCAATTACTCAGAAATGAACATTTTGAAGTTCTTTTTTAGCGCTCTACTACTTCCCCTCCCCCCTTCCCTCTCTGGGTGGGCCTGTGCAATCTTATGGTTTGGTGCAACATAGACTTTACTGTGAGAAGCCTCATCGATACAAAACCGCTGTCCTTCTCGAAGGATTCCTGTTCGCCTAGGAGATGTGCTTCATCCTTTCACCTTTCCCATTTAAATTTAAATTCCCGAATTCAGGCTCGGGATATTTGGCATTAATCCTGCCTTCGGTGGTGCATGCTGACGTATGTCAGAGACGGAAACGGGAGTCACGATTTCTGCTGTGTTTTCTTCTGCATGACAGAAGTGAAAGTTTTCTTCTTATCTCGGATAGAGAATCTGAAGTAACGGGAACTTTACAT